CTCCACCGACATTGCATTAGTGTGCCCATCCTCCACCATTAAGGATTCCCATCTTTTGTCATCTTTGCCAATTGGCTGGGTGGAAAGTGAAACCTCAGGATTGATTTGATTGGCATTTTTGTTATTTGTGATTTGCTACATTCTTTCATGTGGTTGTGAATACTTTGCAGCAATTCTTTTGAGAATTGTTTGTTTGTATCCTTTGATGCAGCTGGGGAAAATGGCTTTTGGTCTTATATTTTTTTTAGTTGTCTACCTTAGATACCAAACTCTTGTCTGTAAAATAGCAATTATGTACTTGTACTATCAGTGAGAAAATGGTGTTGGAGAAAGATCATTCTAACAGCTGTGTCTAGGAGTGATTAGAGTAGGCAGAAATTGGAAGCTAGGAAACCAGCTAAGAAAGTTACAGTAATATAGAAAGGTCATGTTGACCTAAACAAAGGTGTCATCCTTTTGTTCAAACACGAGCTATACTTACTACATAAGAGCTAAATTCCTTAACCTAGCCTTTGGGGCCTTTTGGCCCCGTCATTCCTATCCACCTTGATTTTCACTTTTGTCTGGCTAAGCCAAATCTTCTTGCTGCTCAATTCAGTTCAATGAAATGTGCATTTTTAAAAGAATCTACTCTGCCATCCAGTTAAGATGACTGCGTAAAATCAAATAGGTGTCTAGCTCTCTCATTTTTTTATGCCAGCAATAATCTAAAATGGGCAATAGATCAAACTTGATATCAAATATAAAATTTGCTATTCCAAAGGAGAAAAAAAAAAGAAATTCGAAGAGAAACACTAGTAAGCTATTTTATTCAGTCTAGGATGTTACAAAAAGAAGGCTACAAGCTATAGGTGATACAGAGCATCCAGCATGATCTCAAGTAAACAGGCTAGATATCAGCAGTAGCATCCAGGTGGGGGAAGCCACAGGGTAGATGGGTGACTGGGTCTTCTGATAGGGTATGTTATAGGAGGTCAGGACACTGCAGCATTGCCATAACTGGGGACATCTCCATGGGTTGGGAAGATCATAGAGCTTTCCCATTGAAAGCCGCTAGAGCTGTGAGTGCATATACCAGGTGAGAGAAAAGCTAGGAGGTAGGAAACTTGGAAAACTGAGGTCAGGACCAAATCATTCTTGAGCACTCCATTCATGAGTTTGTGAGCAGGAACAGCCTGACCCAAGCACCAAATCAGGGACTCAAGTTGGTAGTATGAATAAATGGAAGATGCTGAACAGGCTGAATGAAGTATGATGGATTATAAGATATCCAAGAGATAATTCTATAAGAAGAAAATACTTCCACTACAACTATAAGCAGAATTTAAGTGAAAAAAATAAACTTGGCTACAAAAACTATAAGAGTACCTGGAAGAAATTAAACAGCAGATAAAATATGAAATTATAAGCTGAAAGCTCTAGAAGAAAGAATTGGAAGGAATGTACATACTTTGGTGAAGAAGGTGGAAAACCTTAGTTATCTAGCATCTGGAAGAAAAATAGAAAGTTGTCCTATGAACCGATTAGAATAGGCCAAAGAGAAATCATTGATTCCATGAGATAATAAGAAATGCTAAAACAAAATCAAAAGATTGGAAAAAAAAAGATAATTTAAAGTATCTACTTTCAAAAACAAATGACATAAAAAACAGGTCAAAGAAAGACAATTTAAAGGTAATTAGATTACCTGAAAACTATGGTCAAAAATAAAGTGTGACTTGTTTTTAAAAAAAAAAATTATAAATGAAAATTATCCATAACCAGAAGGTAAAGTGACAATAGAATCTACTGATCACCTCTTGAAAGAAATCCTAGAATGAAAATTCCAGGAATGCCATAGCTAAAGTCCTGAGCTTCCAGGTAAAACACACACACACACACACACACACACACAGAGCAAGCATCCAGAAAGAAAATGTTCAAGTAGCAAGAAGTCAATACCCTTACAAGACTTGACAGCTACAATACAAAGCAGAGAAAATCTTGAAATAAGGAATTCCAAAAGGGAAAAGATTTAAGACTTACAAGAATTATTTACCTTGAAAATCTGAGTAGAATAATTTTTTTTTTTGTGGAAAAGAAATTTAATGGAATAGAAGGCTTTCAAGCATTCTATTCTAAGTGATGAAAAGACCAGAGCTGAGCTAAAACTTTGAAATGCAAACACAGGAACTGAGAGAAGCCTATAAATAAGGGTCAGTACATTTGAGCAATTGGAAGTGGGCATAGATGGTAATGATAATGACCTGCTTACATTCTAATAGGAGGAGGAGATACAAGTGTTTATTCAGACTCTTCATGACTTTGAATGCCATAGATGGAATTAATGAGAGGACTTGAGAACAAGAGGCACAGCTTCCAGTCCTAGCGAGATGAGAGTCTCAAATGTAATTGTGACCTAGCTAGATCATAGCTATAATATTGTACCCAGTCCTAGGCACTACAGGTTGGGAAATACATTGATAAGCTGGACACCAGAGGAAGGTTAACTGGAAGAGTAAAGGCTCTTCAATCCATGGAATGAGGGTCATTTGAGACAACTGAAGATCTTTAGCTTGAGAAAATACAATGGGGAAAATGGGAAGACTAGAATGGGATGTTGAAATACTTAAAAGGAAATTTGAAAATGTGACTAGACGTGCTTTATTTGGCCACAGTAGGAAGAAGTTAGAGAGATAGATTTAATCGTGATGTAAGGAAAAATGTCCTAACAATAAAAAGTGGATTGGACTGCCTCAGTTTGCAGTGAGTTTCTCCTGGTTGGAGGTCTTAAACCAAAGACTGGATGACCCATTGTTGGGTATGCTGTAGGGGGAATTCTTTTTCAGATGTGGTTTAGAATAGGTGACCAGCGAGGTTCCTTCCACCTCTGAAATTGTGATCCTTCACACAAAACAATATTCTCTCCTGAAAAAAATAACCTTCAATCACTAACTTCGGATACACCCCATTTAATATGGAAGTGAATTAATTGTAGACATTAGAAAGCTTCAGAAGATCACGATGTTAGAGAAGCAGTCTTTTCATGTTGCTATGATATGATACAATGTATCACTACTGACATAGATAACTTTTAATTATAGAGTTGAAGCTTGTAGAATGTTTCAAGAGATTGTCTCCACATGATACAGCATAGTATAATGTAACGAGTTTTGGATTGGAAGTGGGATGCAGTGAGCCCAGCATCTCTAGGCCATGTTATAGGTTACTAAAAATACCCAGTACAACACAGAGTAGCAAAGATAGGAAACCTTTCAGAAGAATGTGTGATGTCTGGGAACGTGCTAGCCAGTTACCAAATAAAGGATTTTAAAATAGGAGTAGGAAATAAAAGTGCAGTAAATAATGAAGAGAGGCAGGCTCAGAAATGCCAAGACTTGGGTTGAAGTCCCATTTTTGGCTCTGTGAAACAAGGAGTCATAACCTCTAAGAGCCACCAGGCAACTTTTGGGAGAGGGAGTTTAATCATCAGGAGTTCTTTACATTGAAATTACAAGTCTGGCTTTTTAAAAAAGTAATCTTAAGAAAAATCTGAATATAGGCTCCAATCTGGCTCAGTAAAAGCCATTTATATAAAATCCTTAACTCACCCCAGTTCCATCTCAAGGTCATAAGGATATATAAACATGAACAGAAAATTTGAAAACAGATCAATTACAAGTGTTAAGTTACTGTCCTTTTCTTATGGGGATATTTACTGAAAAGAGCAGGAAAAAGGACATTTTGTGTGACATACTTAAAAAAGCAGCTTGGGGAAAATCACTAAAATTAATAGGAGAAAAGGAGCCCCTTAGATAAAGGTGATAAAGGAAGATTCTGAAAGGAGGTGAACGAAAGCACGGCCCTCAGAGGCAAAGGCACTAGCTAATGGTAAAGATGGTTGCAGTTTACGTGCCCCAACAAATAATTTGCATCCAGCATTTGAGGATCAGAAAATTTATTGCTGGGAAACTCTGAATCAAAGAACTAATCTGTAACCATGGGACTGTTGGATATTAAGTATTTTTGTTATACCTGACCGGTTAGATTTGGGGTTTCTCAACCTAAATTAGATATGAGGTGACCCTGATTTGAAGTATCAGAAACTACTTGAGAAAATAGCTTTTAATTCACAGAAATTGAGATAACAGAAGAGAGCCCAGAAAGCCAGCTTGGGAAGCTTGAAGATCCCAGACGTACCGCTGCTGTAAGCTAAAAGAATTTAACTATTTCAAGCCCAAGATTGGTAGAGAAGCATTTTTATCCAACAGGACAGAGAGAGGCTCAGGGTGGGGTTCTGTCCCAAAGGAGCTATGGTAGGGACCGTTCCCTACAAAGACCAGAAACATCCAGGCCTGTAACGGAGTCTGGTTGTGACACGAGCTGCCCCACACACATGAGTGTGCTTCACTGCTGGGTTTCTCTAAGTTTGTGTCCATCTTCCCCTTTGTGCATTGGTGGGAGAGTTGACCCAGGTTTACGGTTTATGGTTCTGATGATTCTTGCCCGTTTTCTCATTGGGTAAACGTTTCATGTTTGAGTTAATCATATCACTGTGATTGATTTGTTTAAACAGGAAACACGTCAGTGAGGGTTCAGGAGCTACTTTTCTAAATAGCATCCCCTCAATCGTATTCTTCCGGGTCCCCAAGAGTCGAGTTGTAGCAGCACAGCCACCTTTTTGAGCGTAGGTGAGGTGTGTGAGCAAAGCCTGTCCCAAGAAAAGTAGAAGAGCAAGAGGGCCTGGAAAGAGTCAGGGGGTGGGATGGACACAGAGCCATGTCCTTTATCACTACTTATCAAGCAACACAAAGTTAGAGAATGTCCAGGTCTTAACAAGACTCGCAATAGTATCCTCACCTCATGCTCACTCTAAGTCTTGACGAATGGGGGAAATCAATCACTAGTTATTAAATCAACTTAAAAAAAAAAACAAACAAACAACAAACCTTACATATGAAGAAACTTTTTGTTGTTGTTGTTGCCAATGGCCTTTTAAAACTTGTGTTAATTTACAAGGAAAAAATTATTAGAATAGTTTAACTGTAGACATACAACAAAACATTTAACATCCTTCTTTCAGTTCTCTCGTCCCTGGTAGTGAGATTTTTTTACAAAATCGTGCCAATAGGAAGCAAATAACTAGACAACCAATTAAGGCCTACATTTCATGCACTAATTTGGTTAGTGCTCCTAGACAGACGATGGCTTGAGAGTGATTACTTATCAGAGTGACCTATAAGAGGCTGCTGTCAACCACACCTTACCCTCAGTAAATAACTTCCCACATCCTTGCGTGTGTAATCTCTCTCTTCTCTCCTTTCCATGGATCCGATTGTGCTTTTATTTATACTAATGAATGCCTGCTATGCTGTTTAGCCTTTTCTGTTTTATTATACTTCTCCCAAATTCCCAGTAGCTTATGAATGAATAATGACCAAGTATTTAAATGCCAGTGATAATCATTAAATAACTTAAATTCCTTAGTGAGTAAAGCCAAAATGAATAATGTATAAAATTATGAAAACAGTTTCATGACCAATTAAGAAACATAAATTTGCATGTAAGGCTTCAAGGAACATGTTTATCTAGAGACTATTTAAAAAACACCAATAGCTGTCTGTCCCAAAGCTCCCGCCCTCTTCATTTTCACATCAGCTTGTTGTGTTTCCCACTTCCAAAAAGACTAAATCGTTATTACCTCAGACCTAGTTCACAGATAAACACCTTAATCCATTTTCAAATGCATTACCAGCAATGATATTAATTTATAGATAATCTCATGCCAAAAAAACACTCATGCAGCAGGTCCAGAGCTAAGAGCTTAAGGCGAAAGTTGGAGTCAGATGAAAATTGCTCTTTGAAAATTCAGAGCCTGCTAGACTGAAAACCTTTCCCTGAAGAGTGTGCTCTCTTCCATGGTGCAGTCCCTGCGTTACTTTCTCCACGATCTAATGATTACAACACAGGTACAAGGGAGGTGCGTGGGATGCTCTAGCCGTAACAAAACACACATGACCAAACCATTCTGGTTTTAGGCCATGAAATTTTATTTTTAGTGTAAATTGCATATGAAAACATATAAAAAGCATTATAAAAATAAATAATTTTAGAAATAGCAATTACCTGGCTCCCTGTAACAGTTAATCTGTGGCAGTTCCAGGGCTACACTGTAGCATTCCCGGGGGCAAAACACACATTATAGGGGTTTTAACAGGATGGGTAGAATATAAAATCTTTAAAAAAAATCTCTGTATATACATGCGTATACATACACACTTCTATGTATGTCTGGTCCATCTAAAAATATACATACCTGCATATACACACCCACACACCACACCCACATACAGCCAGAGCTGCTGCAGTTCAAGAATCTGTTATAACTATTAGCCAAACAAAGGGGACCATAAGAGAGATTTCAAGTAATTATCATTTCACATTGACGTCTTCCCCAAGTTCGAACTGGACTGAGCACTACCAAGTGATGGGCGTGCTGAAATCCCTGCAGCATGATTGATTTAGAGAATAAACCTGAAAGCCTGATCTCTGGAAGGAAACGACTGGGACAGTCACGATCCATGAGACTGAAAACACTTCTGGACTCACTCCAGCTCCGGCCCCTGACCGTGATCCTCAGAGTCATCTACTGTGAGGAGCCCAAAACTGTTGCTGACGTGATCATGTAAGGACCCGGTTCCCAAGGAGATGCCCACTCGGTGCTTCGTCCGGCTGGCGTCCCTCTTCCTTGGCTTCTTCTTTCTGGTTTTTGACTTTTCCTTCTGGGAAAGGCATTCTGAAGGGACAGCAGATTTCAGGGCATGGAAGAGCTGGTTGTAAAGCTGCCACGCTCTCGGGCACACGCTCAGGATGCTTTCTGCTGAGGATGAAGCAGAAAGTTCTTGAGAGAGCCCATGGACTAGAGTCCCACTGTAGAGCCTGTCCAAGTGGAAAAGAAAGCACATCACTGCCCTCGCTGAGGGACGAGAGGACAGATGCCATAGCTTCAAACTGCACCGAGAATTTTGGCATTTTGCAGTAAGCCACAGTAGGGTGAAAATTCCAATTAGATACTCAAGGGATCCCTCTATTTATTTACTTCTGAAGCTGTGTAAAGTCTTCCCTAAAAGAACTAACTTCTGGCTACAGTCCCGTTGAGGACGGAAAGGTCACAAAAGTTAGTCTTGACCTGGAAGCATCTAATGTACTTACTTATTAATGAGTAAAATGCTAGAAATTCAGGTTACAGATAGTGTCAGGGTAAGCAGGCTTGTCAATAAATTTAAAACAAACTCGCTAGATTAGAAAAGCCAGTTATTAGAAATAAGATCAAGTAGTTCATTTTAAAACAACTATCACTCAACAGTAGAAACTGGTTAGGTATGTCCACTGAAGAGACAGGCACAACACAGAGGATCGATAGGGAGCTGGAATGGTTCTCAGGCCATCCAGTGCAAAGAAATGGCCTCATGGCATTTAAGGGACCTTGGCAAAGTTACAGAAGTGAGATTTGAACCCAGGTTCCCTGGCTCTGGAGGTCAGGGTTCTTTCCACTGTACCATGTTGCCCTAAAGAGCTGACCTTTAAACAAGAAAATCTGGACCTAGGTTCTGCTTCTGACACACACAAGCAGAGTGACCATGGCCACAACACTAAATTTTTCAGTGTTCCAGCTAATTCTTTTAAGACTTTATTATAGAGGGGCAGCTAGGTGGTGCAGTGGATAGAGCATCGGCCCTGAAGTCAGGAGGACCTGAGTTCAAAATTGACCTCAGACCAAACACTTGACATTTACTAGCTGTGTGACCTTGGGCAAGTCACTTAACCCCAACTGCCTTAAAAAAAAAAAAGACTTAATTACAGAAAAATTGCTAGAACTTCATAAGGGTGTGGTGGGGACTTACCACCCAAAACAGAACAAAACATCTAGATTTGGGGGCCTAAACTGACCAACTGTAGAACAAGTCCTAATTTTTTGGTCTGGCACTATGAATTTACTGGTCTAGAGCTTTCTCTTAGGATGGAAAGACAGTACTGCTTTTGAAAAACAACCTAACTGACCCATTAACAGAGAAAGACCAGGAAATAATTATTTTGCTATCATCACAACAGTGGGCTTGAAGTCAAAGAGTCCTAATCCCCTCCCCCCCCAAATGAAATCTGATCCTTATCCCTCTCCTGCACTTTTCTGGGCCTGGAGTAATTGCAACTGGCTTATCTTACCACGTGAGGTCGGGCTCTGGTAAAGGTGTCAATAGAAGCTGATTGAGATAGAATCCCATCTGGAGGCAGCACTGCCACTGACAGAACACATGGGCTGTATCCAAATTCAATTTTCTTTGCAGTTTATTTTCTTTCACTTTAAGAAACTGGTCACACAGCAGCTTAGCCCCATCCACATGCAATCCCTCATTATCTAGAGGAAAAAGAAAGTAGTGTTTGCAAAGGCTTTCAGATGGTCTCTACCTATACAGACTCAAAGGCAATGACCAAATGGAAACACCATTTTTATTGTGAAAAATCTTCTCTACTCTGACACTTTGCTACTTTAATTTTAAATACCTGAGTTTTGAAGGCATCTGAATTCAAATACTCTACTGAAAATTCTCTTCTGAATCTTAAACTTAACTGTGCCAAATACTTGGCTTAGAATAGTTTCCAGAACACCGGTCATATTTCCAGGACAAAGTCTTACACCATATAAGCCCATGCTGTTTTTCCCATTCCTGATCATATATTAACTGAAGATTATGGGGGGAAGCTAGAATATGACTATACAATTTTCTGTAGTTGTAGGCATTTGTTTTATTACAGACAGCAGTGATAGATAACCATCTCAGGAAAGAAATCACTCCTGAACTGGCAGCATCTCTGGTGAAATACAATGACCATTCTCTCTGAATCTGGAGGAAGAAATGAAATGGGCAAATGTTCTGTATATCAAAAACACATTATCTGCATAAGCTCGGGTCAGGGAGCATCAATGTGGCAGATGGTGGTCCTATCACATTAGAAGCTATGAATCGATAAAGAACGTCACCCTCTCTCTCTCCCGTCCCCGCCTTTTCTAAATTTCAGGTATAGTATAAACGAATTCCTGGAAGAGCACACGCTGTAGACTCCAGACACCCACCAGGCTCACGGGTCATCTTGTGCAGCTGCCCACACAGCATCCCCATCAGTAAAGCCTGCACATGATGCAGTGTGGCTTTGGCTTCTAAGGACTGCAACCAAAAGCAAGTGACAGCGACAGGCAGCTTCCAGGACGCGGGGAGCGGGTCCAAGACACCCTCTTTCACTTTCAGGGTTTCTAGCAGAAGACTCTTGCGCTTAGAGAGAGAAAGCTGAAAACACACAGCACACGGGGTCTCAGTCACGTTTAGAGAAACTTGATGCTTTTTCTTGTGTGCAAATATAGGATTAAACAATACAAATGAAACATCAGTTTCAACTGTTAAGCTTACGGTGTTAAATACTGGATGAAAGGACCACGCTTGTAGCTTTGGGGGACAAAAATAGCTCACACATGCAGAGCTCTTGAAGGCTTACCAAATGCCTTCCACATATCATATCTCATTTAACTGGATTCCTACACAAAACTTCTGAGGTAGGGGTTATTTTTATAAAAATTAAGTCTGTTCATAGGTTCACCGATCGAGAGCCCAACCCCTTCATTTTAGAGATGAGGAAACTGAGGCTTAGGGAGGGGAAGTGTACAGGGTCACACAGGTGGTTTCAGGGGCAGGATCTGAACTCCTGACCCCAGAGCCAGTGCTTTTTCTAAGCTGCTTAGATCCTACCTTTAAATAACTAAATGAAGTTTGAAGTCTGGGGGACCGGGAAGATGGTGGACCCAGTGGCAAAAAACAGGTAAGGACGAACAGGACTTGGGAGAGGATGGATTTTATGTAGAACACAGTGAGATTGAGCTGTCAGTCACACTGCCCGGCCTGCCTGTGTGTTTCTCTCACCTCCAGGCCTTTGGCCACACCGTGCCTTCTACATCACCACTTCCACAAATTAAATCCTACCCACCGTCCAAGGAACACATCAGTGCTCCCTCCTCTACAGTCCCTTTCCTCATGACCCCAGCCAGAGGAGCAGAGACATCTTTCCTTTTCTCTACACTGTGCCAAGCACTCTACGCCACTTCACCACCCTTATTACATATTGTTTTGAAGGCAGTGGTGGAACGGAAAGGGTAATGGACCTGACATAGGTATTGTGGTTTGTGACCAAGTTACTTTTTCCATCTGTTAGATTGGATTATATAGTGTGTCCCCCATAACCTACTTATGCTTACAACTCCATGAAGACTTTTTGGGTCTTGCGGTATTATTGCTAAGGTCCCTTACCACTCCAATGCGTGAGGATGGTTTTTATTACTGTTCTCTGCCCAGGAAAAGGCAGTGTGGTATAGTGGAAAGGACACTACACTAGGAGTTGGGGGATGTTCAGGCTGATTCTACTTACCTGATTATGATGTATCACAAGTCACTGAATCTCTTCTTGGCTGTATCCTCCAGATCATGCCCTCTAACTGCAGGTGTCCCTCAGGATTGTCCTGGGCCCTCTTCTCTTCTCCCTTTATACCACCTCACTTGGTCATCTCATCAGCTCCCATGGATTTAACTTCCATCTCTATTGATGATTCTATAATCTACCTATCCGGCCCCCACAACCTCTCTACTGACCTCCGACTGCCTTTCAGACACCTCAAATTGGATGTCAAGTAGACTTCTTAAACTCAACATGTCCAAAACTGAACTCATTGTCTTTCCCCCTCACTCCTCACCCCATCTTCCTAACTTCCCTATTACTACTGGGGGCAACAGGCTCCAGATTCTTTGACTCCCACAACCCACATTCTAGAATATGAATCGGTCACTGATGATCTATAGCTCCCATATGCAGGGCCATTACTACCACAATCCTGAAACACTTACCTCAGTCAATCTGCCTAATTCCCGATATTCCTCTGGGAGCTTCACTGCATGAGTAACTACTGTTCCAATATTCTTATCAATCCTTTCTACCTCACTAAAAGCCATTGGTTGTTTAGACACTGTGCTCTGGGACACATTATTGAGATCTGGAGAAGAATTCTGAAGAAGCCCATATATGACTTTCCGAATGGACACAGAGACGACGTGGGCACTTGGACGCTGCATGTTCTCCACCTGTGTCTGAAGAATAGTCCGCCGTAATGACAAAGCATCACAAACAAAAGGAGAAAGTTGCCCTTTCGCCAAAGCCAGCTGTATCCATTCGGGTAAGCCCAGGTTGGTGGCACAGGGAGATACATAAGCACCATGCTGGAAGAAATCCTGCAGCTTCACTGGAGATGGCTGGTATTCCTCCATTGAACCACAAAGCAGCTCTCTAACCATTTCTCTATCGTTCGTCTTCAGGCACTTCACAAAATTATTTAAGGCTTCAGCGGGCTCATTAAAATTAGACAGCCAGTTCAGGAGTCCCAGAATCCGCTGGTGCTTTCTCCCTTTGGTGTTGGAGGTTCCAGGGGTGAGACTCATTCTACTGACGACTGTATCCAGGGCAGGCAAATTGATGTAGTCATTACCACACAGCACAGCAAAGAGAGGCAGCAGGGCTTTATTCATGTTGTTGAAATGACTGCAGAACTTATCTACAGAGAAGCGTCTGGCAGGGATATAGTAGTGAAGTGTATCTTTAATCACAGTCAGGTTTTTCCACTGAAAACCAATCAGAGGACAAAAGCCAGCTTTCAGGTCAAAAATGCAAAAATCACTATCCATCGTTAATACAGGACAATTCCAATGGTTAGCAAGTGTCATAATGTCTCTGTCGGCTTCTGAGAAGCACTGGACAAAGTCTACGTGAAGCTTGTTCAAGACTTGAATGAATACTTCACGGATGAGTAAAGGCAGTAGATTTCCTCTCCCACCAACAGAAAGGGAATGTGCCACCTGGATCTTCTCCCGGGCTCTGTCTTTTAAGGTGAGGAGTTTTTTATCGGAAACGTCACAGCCTCCATCTAATACAACATATGGATGAATTTTACAAGCAAAGAGTGATTCAAAGAATCTCTGAGTAACATCGGTAAAAGAATCATAGTCTCCCCCGTGCTGGAGGTCCACATTTGAATCAAAACACAGTCGATGGAAAAGTGCATAGCCGTCAATGATAATTTTGGTGTCCCTCAACTTCAGATCAACGAAGAATTGACTGCTGTGATCTTCCACGTAGCTCATTAGTCCACGGATACCCATGCTGATGCTCTAAGGAACTGCCTTCAAGATAAAAAAAAATACACACCAAGTTTTCAATGAAGTTGTTGGAATCCTGAAGGCTCCTGAAGACTGAAGAAGGATATCTGTCCCCGGGCTTAAAATGGCATTAAGACTTTTGGGACACTGGGTATAAAAGTGAGTGCTTTCCACCATCCTAAAAACCAACTGGGGGGGCAGCTAAGTGGCGCAGTAGATAGATCACTGGCCCTGAAGTCAGGAGGACCTGAGTTCAAATCCGGCCTCAGACCAAACACTTGGCATTTGCTAGCTGTGTGACCCTGGGCAAGTCACTTAACCCCAATTGCCTAAAAAAACCCAAACCAAACAAACAATAACAACCAACTAGAAACTATGTTAGGAGCTCTGACGATACCCAGGTCGAAGTGGATAGAGCAGCGGTCCCGAAGAGCCTAGTTCAAATCCAGCTTCAGACACTTGACACTTATAGCTGTGTGACCCTAGGCAAGTCACTTAACACCACCCCCTCTCCAATTGCCTCACAAAAAGAAAAGAAAAAAGAAAAGGAACCCTTTTTCAAAAGATAAATCCAAAGGTAAAAAAAAATAAACTTCAGTTTCATAATTTAACTAAATTAGAAGAACAAGAAACATAAGGTGAGTTGAGAGAGAATGAAAGACTTAGTAAGTTTGGAAGGCTGTATTCTAGAAGAAAATGTACTCAAGACGCCCAGGGGTGTCCTCTTGTATTGTTAACTGTGGTGAATGAAAATTCTGAAACAGGGCTCCAAGTAATGAAGAAATTAGTTTATTAAATAGGCCAATCAGTGACCATTAATTTATTGATTGTTGGCCAGCCGACCGAGTAAATTAATTTCTTCATTACTTGGAGACGTGTTTCTCAGAATTTTCATTGGCCACAGCTGGGGACCAGCTAGGGCTTCTTTGAGCTGCAATTTCCAGAGTAACTCTGGAATAGGCAGGAATCAGGAGACTTCACAGAAGCAGCTGGGAGGGTGGGATAATTACGTAAGGGGGAATGAGCCAAGAGACCCAGGAAGTTGGAGAGGAAGGGGTTAAGGCCGGCTGGAGGCAAGATCAAAGATGGAGGCAGGGTTGAAGAAGTAAGGAAGGAAGCAAGTAAAGCAGGGTCGAGGACCTGGGGAGAAACTGAGCAGATGCTATCTGAAGACTGAATTTTTGTGGCCATCTCCATCAATCTACTCCAAAGGTACTAGCTGCTTATGTGCTTGGGATTTCTGTCCCATACAACTAGCCTTAAATCTTTCAATGTCTGATAATTAAAAGAGCCCTACCTGGGCCACAGTGACTCCCCGGCTCAATTAGTTTTTGTCTTAGACCAGATGTCACAGAACTTAAACACTTGCTTTTTTTGGCATCACCGATTCAATGTGCAGTTCTCCCCTGTCCCATACTATGATGAGTCTTTCTAAAAAAAAAGACAAAAAAACACCAAAATTCTTACTTTTTTTTTTTTTTTTAAAGATATGGTCTCCAAGGTTAAGGTCTCCTGTTAAGGTTTCAGGAATCCCTCCCAAAGGGTCATGTGGTTCAGCTGGAAAGCCTACCTACAGGCCTGGTACTCTGGTTATGCTAATAGAAGGCAAGGGGAGGGGCTGTTTTAGAACCTAGAGACCATTTCTCCCAACCCAAACAAATTGGCAGGTTAGGGCCACAGACAAGTTACCACCCCCACCGTCCCCTCTTCTGCTGATTAGCCACAATAGGGAAAAAGCAGCTTGGTTTTTAATCATGGAAGTACATACAAAAAAAAAAAATCCCATGAAACGTTACTGATACTACTACTTTCAAATCTGCCTATATGTTTTTAACTTTCTTAAAACGAATTTCAAAGAACGCTACTCAGATTCTCACTAGAATAATTTCAACATTTATAAAAACATACAAGCTATTGACAACCTCACTGTGGGAGTAGCCAATTACTGGAAGCTGCAGCACATAGAAACACTCACAACAGACACAGAACATATATTATTCTTACCTAGAGAAGGTCAAAGTTCATACTGGAGGAGAGATTCAAAATCTCAGCTGAGGGTTTCCCAAGAAAGGCCGTTTTTACAGGTAAGAAAACTTCACCAGGGTGTACTCCCCAAGGAGGAACACTTTCCAGGAGACCTTGAGCCAGATGGGTCACTTTGCCGGTCACCAGCTGCGGTGAACGGTAATCAAAGATGGGAAGGGAGGCTCACACACCTTAAATCAGGTGTTTCAAGATCAAGCCACCTTCTTAGCAGGAGGAGCTCAAGACTTTTAGCTCACCTCCTCATTAAATGTGACTAATCAGGGTTGTTTCACTTGTCAGGGGAGTTCCCCCTCAGAAGGTACACACACAATTTATGGTGTTTCAGAGTCTCCCTTTGCATCTTTGATTATCATTTTCTGCTGAACAAAATGGAAATTTTCAGTGTCCCTTGAAATTCTAATTAGCTGACCAATCATTTAGAAATAAGCTTCATTTCCCATGGAATCTTAAAGGATTAATTTGTGTGGGAAGTAATGATTTGAGATTTTAGAAATGTCTTTTGCAATTTTAGAAGCTGTGGGTCTTTTAGACATAGGATGCCATTTCTTTTTTGTCATTGGACCACGGCTGCCTTATATATGAATATTATATTTGGAACCAGTATTGTTCATTTCCCCACCCCTAGAAATCATTATTAGTTGGTGCCATTTGGAAATTTTTTAAAAAAGCTTCACTGGAGGCAGGTAGGTGGCACAGTGTATAGAGCACCGCCCAGGAAGTCAGAAGGACCTGAGTTCAAATCCAGCCTCTGCCCAAACACTCGGCACTTACTAGATGTGTGACCCTGGGCAAGTCACGTCGCCCTGCGTGCCTCAGTTTCCCCATCTGTAAAATGAGCCGGAGAAGGCAGCCACTCCAGGATCTCTGCCAAGAAAACCCCACGTGGGGTCACGAGAAGCAGTAACCTCGTGGCCCGGTGTGTGGCGCAGCTCTCAACCTCAGTTTAAAGCGATTTAAGGGTCGCTCATGGGCTTTGAGGCTCGTGTCGCTCCTGGGGCGCCCAGGACAACAACGCGGCCAGCCAAGAGGCTCGGACACTGCTCGCTGCATTTCCCCCGGACCCCGACAACGGGACTCCATCTTCTTGGTGTCCGGGGGTCATTCATTGCGGGGAAACGACCCTGACTTGCCCAGGGTCGCATGGCTATCTGAGGCCGCATTTGAACTCGTGCCTCCTTGACTCCAGGCCAGGCGCTCTATCCATAGCGCCACCCAGCCGCCCTGCATACAGACAGGGCTCGATAATTGCTCTCGCATTGAAATGAGCAGGAAGGAATCCAGGCTCCGCCCCGCCCCCTCCTCCTCCCTGCCCCCCCCACCCCCCCAGCGTTCCATCCGGGCCTCCTTCCTACCTCCGCGTGGCGGCAGCGGCCGCGGGCCCTACCGGCTCTTCCTCGTGCGCCCAAGGGCCCAGCTGTGCAGAGTGGGCGAGGAAGTTCACGGCCGGAAGTCCTGGCGGAACACGGCTAGCGCGAGACTAAGGCACCGGAAGTGGCCGGATGTGACGTGACCCACAGAGCTCTACCTTCCCAGGCGTTCCACCCTTCGACTGCTGCCCCGGGATCCCTTTATGCGGGGCCATGGGGGACACGGGCGAGGGTAGGGATGCTCCGGGAGGCCAGGGAGACGCGAACGTTTCACTTTGCCCATCCCTGGATCGGCGCCTCAGCTGCTTCCGCCTCCCGACCCGTCATGTCCGCCTCCCACACTTCCCCGCGCCCGTCTCCTAGCGACGCCGCTCACTTTGATCACGTGATCGGGGGGGGCGTGGCGTCATCTGTGGCTGGGGAAGGAGGCGGAGGCGGGCGCGGCTGCCCCGAGGCTTGGGCCCCTACCCCGGCCCCGCAGCCGCCCCCGGCTCCGCACCTCCTCCGGGGACAGGTAAAGGTGAGCGGCGCCGGGCTCCGGGTCAGGGCCTGCGGCTCGGCCCTTCCTCCTGAGTCCCCCGTCTTCGTCTCCCCCGCGGCTCTCCGGGTGACCCTTGCAGGTGCCAAGCGACGCGGGGGGTGGAGATTCCGGGCGTGGGGACGGTCGCCCCCTCCCCAGGGTCCGGCCGAGCTCTGGGGCAGCCTTGGCTAACCTGGGGCCCCTGGAGGCTGCCCCAGTGCTCCCTCCTGCCTTCTTGCCAGAGTCCCTTCTCTAGTCCTACGAGGCGAGGCAAGCAAGCTGCGGGTGCGGATCCCGTCCTCTTGGGTTGCCCTTGTTGTCCGGCATAGAAGGAAGCCCAGGCTTGTGAAGTCTCAGTAACTAGCAATAATGCTAACAGTGCACCTTCTTACCAGTATCTCTCTTTATCCTCACAACCAGTCTGGGAGACAGGTGCTGTTATTATCCCCATTTCACAGATAAGAAAACCGAGGTAGGCAGTATGTCCAGTCATACATCTAGTAATTGACTATTTACAGCTTCGTAGCGGTTATCTGGGAAGTGGACCTAGAGTGCTGAGTCTTAGAGGTTAGGTAGATTTGAACCTAGTTCAGTACAATTCACAGGCCAGTATCCCTCAAAGCTAGTTCAGTTTGCGAGTTGGGCAGGCAGAGATGAATCCTTGGGCCTGCAGGGAAAGAATATGAGTTAGTTGAGGGCAGGGACCCTGTCTGTACATTTCCCTGTCTCCTTGGTTTTTAACGCAGTGCTTGGCACATAGCACCTAACAGATTCGTGACTTGACTGGACACTAGTCTCATAACATTCCACTTTCCAAATCGGACATTTCCATAGCCTACTGAGTCAGATGAGAGTCACCAGGAAAATGAGAGTCACCAGGAAAATACTAGAGTTTTCTTCCCAAATAACTTGGCCAAAGTGCCTTTTATGAAAGGATACCTGTATACCTAAACACAAAAATGGTATACTTGGATCCTTTCTAACCTTGAAAGTTTTTCTATTTTCAGTCACGTATGCAATAGATTTCCCTAATGTTTCCTTTTCCTGATATTGATATTTTAAAATTACTCTGTATCCTCTTGATATCATACACATAATCAGAAATAAAAATCTGTTATTTTTAGTGAGAACTATGGGTTGAGCAGAGGGCAAAGAGCTCAGCTTTCAGCTGGTAATCCCAGTGCTGATATGGGCAAGGATAGGCTTCTGTGTTTTGGCTTTTTCTTCTAAAATAAGGCAACTGATAGCTTCTTCAGGAGAGTACCGTAAGACTTGACACATTAGATTGAGCCGTCCAGTGTTCATGATTAATTGCCACTGCTAATCACAAAGGCTGTTAGCAGAACATGCCAGCACCACAACAGATGGCATTTAGAATATTTCCACACCTTGTGTTGTCATTTTAAGTGACAGTTTTGTAACTTATTATGGCTTTAGAGAGGTTAGATATGGTAAAATGCTTTAAAAAAATCAAGCATTCTGCATCATTTATAACAAACATTTTAATAGTTCCTTGACTTTTCTGGGACTCATTTCCTCAACTATAAAATGAGGGTGTTAGTAATTAATTTGTAAAATAACTAATTTACATAGCACCTTTGGAGTTTACAAAGGTCTTTCCTTCTTACAACCTTGTGAGACAGATAGTGAAGTATTCTCTTCATTTTGTAGAGAAGGAAACAGAGGGACAAAGATTTAAAGTGACTTGCCCATGGTCACAAAGTTAATAAATGCTAGGAATTGAATCCAGGTTTCTGGAATGAGTGCTTGAATCATTGTCTCCACTATATCATTGTTTTTTGGATGCTAATATTACTTCTCAATATTCTGAGGAGTGTGAAAAAACAAATTAGTGATCATTATTTGACATCTTTTTTTAACCCATTAATAAACTTTGAATAGATTTTTTTTTACCAATGCCAGTATTAAAAAAAAAAAGCCAACATTTTACAACTTCTTTGCCCTCAAAAGATTCAGATGATTTTTTAAGACTATCAAGTATAACAGATCCCTTAGCTACTATTAAAATAGAACTTGGCGATTGATGTGTATTGAGAATGCTGTGACTTATTTTTTGTTCTTTGATGAGGTTTAAAATGAATTCCAGAAATAGGATGTAATTGTTATATTTAAGTTAGATATTCTTTAGGATATGGAGTAAGGAGTTACTCTTTTCATCCTCCTGGTCCATCTTTGCCCCTGCAAATGTTACCTGTATAATGACTACAGAAACCTTGATTATAAATCTATAGTGACCAGCATAGAAGCAGCTTGATGGGGTAGAATTAGGAACACCTGGGTTCAGGTTCTGCCTTTGAGACCTGCTGACCTGTCCAGGGTCACTTAACCTCTCAAAGACTGTAAAATGTGGAACAATTCCAAATTTACATTGTTAGAGGGAGTTTTCTTACAGTGAATTCCTTAAAGCAATGCAATCTCTAGTCTGGGTTCTCCCCCACCCGTCAGCAGGAGCATTTTCTTGGCTTGATCCTAACCCATTTGAGTACTTGCTGTTTGTTATCCAAAAAGTATGTGAATTCAGAATGCGGAGAATAGGTGAACATGTAGGAATAGATTGAAGCATTTAGATGAGTAAGAGATGATACAGCTTCTAGGACTTTTGCAAAGTTGCAGTTAGTTTTATGAAATCTGGACAAACCAAAAAAAGAAAGCCACCTTCTATACAGTAGCCCACTCTCTGCTGGAATCACCAGCACTCAAGGTAACACGTGTGCAGCTCTGAACTCATTGAGGCTGGCACGGCGGCGGTGTCCGTATGACAGTGACAGACTTGAGTATTTTGTCAGTATGTTGGCGTACTGTGTCAAATCTGACATTTGAAATTTTCATCTTTAAGGAATTGCTCTGTGATCCCCACTTGGATGAATGTGACCATTTCTTAGGAGACCTGCATTCTAAATCTCTATAAATGAATAAACATATTCAGTAGTATTTGGAGTGATGCTCAAATTCCAAGAAGCTGCCAAGTGTGTGAGTGTATCAACAACTGTTTCCACTTGCCCAGAGACGTGGATTGCAAGGCGATACGTACTTCAGCATAAGCTTGGAAGTGGCAGCTTTGGAACGGTTTATCTGGTTTCGGATCAGAAAGCAAAACCGGGAGAAGAATTGTAAGTAAATACTCATCCTGAGAATCTTCAGTTCCCTGCCCTGTGTCTGACAGCTCAGGTTAGTGGGGTGTCAACCAAGGTGCAGTCTTCTACAAATAATTGTGTAGTAAAAGAGAAAGAAATCGGACTTGTTTTTTTGCCCAATGTTTCGACACATTTAAAGGCATTTCAGCACATAGTGATTAACATTTGTAGAAAAGCTGAGGAACGATTGGGATAGAAGAGGTTAAATTAAGACTCAGGGGCCTATCGCAATCTCCAGTCAACATGGCTGAACTCTTCCTGAGGTTTCCCTCTTGGTCATTTTTTCTCATTCTCTAGTCCTTCATCTCTTGTCACACAAAGACTTCTTCCCTGCCACCTACAAACGTGGCCAGGTCTCTGCGTGACTAAAGAACCTGACTCGGACATCCCCTTCAACTGTTATCTTCGCCCTTTCAGAGCCAAACTCCTCCCTGTGCTTGTTACGTCTATTTTCTCACTCCCCACTGACTTCCTGACCTGTTGCAGTTGGCCTTTGAACCCTCCGCTAGACTAAAACTCTTTTTCCAAGGTTCCAGTGACTGGCTGCTTAGTGTAGGGGCCTTTTCTCAGTCCTTGTGCTACTTGACCCCTCTAGCTTTTGACCCTTGTCAGTAACACACACCTCCTGGATCCTTTTGTTGGCTGTGGTGACCCTGTGCTGCCCATTTTCTGCAGGAACCTCTCAGAACATTCCTTCTCAGTCTGTTGTGCTGGCCAGCCTTCCATCTCTTACTCATTAAGCATGGATACCCCCCAACCCCCTGGTTCTGTTTCCTTCACCCCCCCAACATACACATACAAAAACATGTACATAGATATATATTCTCTTTAGGTGATCTCATCGTCTCTTATCGATTCAGTATGTTCCCTTTCATTTGATGCCAAGAGGTTTCTGGAAGATAACATTCCGCCAAAGAGAAACTTAAATAGTGGGAGATGAAATCTAAATTCCTGTTAGACCATAAGGTTCTACAGTTCTGTTTTTTGTTTGTTTGTTTGTTTAGGTGAGGCATTTGGGGTTAAGTGACTTGCCCAAAGTCACACGGGTAGTGTTATGTGTCTGAAGCCAGATTTGAGCTCAGGTCCTCCTGACTCCAGGGCCGGTGCTCTATCCGCTGCACCACCTAGCTGCCCCTAGGTTCTACGTTTTCGATGTGATTTCAGAGACAGCAGTAGAGAAAGTCCGGATTGAAAGGAAAGACAGTTGTGCATCTGAAACACGAGAGAAAGAGTGAACCAAACGGACTCGTGAAGCAAAATGCCAGCCTTACATTCCAGGCGACCACATTGCCAGTTAGACTCACATAAAGCAAACTCTGCGGTACCCTCTTATTGGGGAGTCCAGCCACTGAGACCACCCAGAAAGGGCCTTTAGGTCATGTTTGTTCTGTGGCTTGTTATTTTACAAAGCACCTGTGGGTATGGTCAGTTACTCTACCAATTACAGGTGACTTTAAAAAATAGCATTTCATAATGTACAAAAACAATGTATGTTTGAAACTAAGTTCTTTAAAACTATGTAGTGTAAAATAAAAGTTCTCTTCATCTTATATAAGTAAAAGCATCTCCTTTGCAAAAAAACCAAAACCCAAACCACCTTCATATGCAGATCCCTGTGCTGGTTGCTTGGATGATGGAAAGGGAAACATGGTTTCTCCTCTCACAGAGTTCTGGTAGAGCAATTTTTGTCCTTAGCTTGTTCATATGCCATAGAAGGTTTGTGAACTGGAATGGTACCAGTGCTGTTATTTCATTTTAAAGGTTAAGGGGCAACTACGTGGTACGGTGGATAGAGCTCCAGTCCCGGAGTCAGGAGGTCAGAGTTCAAATCTGGTCTCAGACACTAGCTGTGTGACCCTGGGCAAGTCACTTAACCCTGGACCCCCCCCCCCCAAAAAAAAAGATGACCATTATGAATAGTCAATATTTTAGCGTTTGAAATATAAATGATTCATTTTGTTACATTTTGGTTTTTAATATCTATAAATGAACCATTTTGTAATGGCTTATAATGGAAGAACAAAGGCATTGTTTTTGTTATTTAAAACTTAGCATGATGTCTACTACAAGTAGCGTCACGTTTGGATGCCTGTCTGCCTGTCTTTGAGTGAAGACCCTTCTCTTCTCCTCCCAGAAGAGCTAGCTTCCTGTGGTGGAGAACACAAGAATTTCTTTCCATTTGACATTCACTGGACCACCTCTGTGGAGGTCACAGGAGAACGCCCAGACACTTTGTTCTTTGTTCATCTATCTGGGCAGACCCATTGATGTCAGAGTCGGCGAGGACAGCAGCTCTTCCTCAGCCGGTCCTTCCTTTGATCTTCCTGTCCGAAGGCAGATCCAGTCTGCGCAACAGTTTGAAAACATGTACTTCATAATATTTGGTATCTTTTGATATTTAGTCTGAGCCAATCTTGAGAAACTCCTGGAAGTGAGGGAACTTCTTCATCTTTTTCCAGCTCTGTAATTTGTCATTAAACCTCTTGGAGGCAGCACTATACCACACATGTGTAATAACGTACTCTAAACTATCAATAGCATATTTTTGTTGAATTGCCGTGTGGTAGGTAATTTCACAGTGTGATAAAGCTGAAAAATAACTATAGATGTGACATTTGCATGATGAATATTCTGGACTTCTTTTTCTTTTGAAATTTTCCTTTTTGGTTGTCAGGTTAAAACTGAATTTAATTGTTAAAATGAGCAGTTGTCTCTGGTAATGGCATTTGATAGCAAGATTTCTTAACTTCAGTTTGTCGTGAAATTAATAAAAGAACATTTTTTATGCTTCTTACTATCAAAAGAACTTTGCTGTAGCAGCTAATATGATCGCTATTACTTACATTCTCAGTAAGGTGCAAGTTTATAAGATCCTTCTCTTTGTTGAAAAGCTGGAAGATATGATTTTTATTTTAGTTTACAGACTCAAAAGCTTGTTGAAAATGAAATGATTACTCTGGTAAATCAAGGAAGACAAATAATTCTACTTATAAAATATTGCATGCAATTAAAGTTTTACTGCTCCAAGGAACAACTGAGCTTATCATTATTATTATTATTATTATGAATATTATGATTATTATTTGGTAATTTTGACTGAGTGCAAAATTTTGGTTATGTTATTTGGTAGTGTGGCATGCTTAAGAGAGTTTAATTTAGTTTTCAGGAAAGTCTGTTTTGGAGAGTACCCAAATAGAAGTTTAATTATTTTGAATTTGAACTGATTAGATTCCCAGATGTGGTAGTAGGCACATGTGTTCATTAAATAGTTGTTTCTTTCCTGTTACAATTTCAGTCAGTCGATATTTGTTTTGCACTTGTCACGCGCTCAACACGTTCAGTTCATTTGTGTCCAACTCTGTGTACGGCCCTTGTGACCTCTGCTGTCCATCAGAGTCTGTCTGAGTTCGTGTTCGTCGTTTCCCTGACACTATCTATCCATCTCGTCCCCTGCTGTCCCCTTCTCCTTTTGCTTTCGATCTTTCCCATCATCAGGGAACATTTATAAGCAAACACCTATTGCGTATAAAAGAATAAATACAGTAATAATAGCTAACATTTATATAGCGCCTACTGTGTGTCAGTACTGTGGTAAGCACTTTACAAATATTATCTCATTTGAGCCTAAAACTTCCCTGGGAGGGAGGTGCTGTTATTATCCCCATTTTACAGATGAGGAAACTGAGGCAGACAGAGGCCAACAGACTTGCCTGGTAAATATAAAAGGTCGTTGTGAGGCTGGATTTGAACTTGTGTCTTCCTGACTCTAGGCCCCTCATTCTGTCCACCATGGTGCCCCTACAAAACTGTTAAATATAAGGCAGGGAGCCTGCTAGCGGTTGGGATTAGGAAAGACTTCACGTAAAGAGGTGATGCTCACAAGTGTCCTGAGGGAAGACAGGGCTTCTCTGAAGCAACCGGGAGACTGGGCTGCACTCAGGCCTGTGGGCGGGCCAGTGCCCAGGTGTGAATCTGGATAGGAAGTGTCGTGGGTGAGGAACAGAGGGCAGCCGTTCTGGCAGCCAGTGGAGCTCAGGAAAGCGGGATGGGGCTGGGGGGAGCGTATATGTGGTGGGGCTGGACCGATGGCCTCGGGCGGAGTGGGCTTTAAAGCCTAACCTGGAGATTCCGGTTGGTCCTAGAAGCTACCAGGGTTTATTGAAAAGGAGAGTGACATAGTTAGGGTTGTACTTAAGGAAAATCACATTGGCAGGAGTGTGCAGATGGAGTGGAATGGGGAGAGATTGGAGGCTGGGAAACCCACTGGAAGGCTGTGGGCAGCAGGTGGTGAGGGCCTGAGGTGGGGGGAGGTGTTGTGGAGGCGGAAACATCTGGCAACAGAGGACAAACGTAGGGAGAGGTGGAGGGCAAAACTGAGGTTATGGACCTGGGAAACGGAAGGAATGGGGGTACCTTCCACAGAAAAAGGGAAGTCTGCCAAGAGGGGAAGTTTTGGTGGGCAAGATAAGGAGTTGTGTTTTGGACATGCGATGTTTGAAGTGTCTGCAGGCAGCTGGGGATGTGGGGGGGGGGGGTGTGGGCTGGATGTCTCTACCTGTGAGTCATTGACATCGATAGAATCATTAAAGCCATGACAGCTGGTAGTCATCGAGAGAGAGTGGAGGGAGAGGTGGAGGGGACTCAGCAAACACTCAGAGTGAAGGGCGTGATAGGGGTGATGAGCCAGAAAGGAGTATGAGAAGGACCAGCTGATGGGCAGGAGGAGAAGCAGGAGAGAGCGGTGTCATGAAAATCCAGAAGGGGGAGCATGTCCAGAAACAAGGGATGGTCAGCAGTGTCTGATGTAACACACGGGTCAGAAAGATTAGGCCTGAGAAAGGACCATTAGATTTGGAAATTAAGAGATGGAATGGTAGGACCTCCTGGTTAGATCTAGGACCTATGTAAGTGTTTTAATTAAGGAGGTGTAAGACTTGTGGATAACAGTGAGATCCAGGATGTGACCTGAGGCAGCA